GACAACGGCCTAAAAGAAAAACACACAAGTTGATTATAATTTACTTCAAAACCTTCTTTACTTCATTCAGAACTTACGAATTTGAACATGTTGAACAAAATTTGATTAACGTCTGATTTTGTTGTTAACAAATAAGAATTGATTCGGTGTGTAATAAAAATCACTAGAGTACTCAACTATTTATACCCACACATCGGGCGCCGAAATTCAAAATCAAAACAAACAATCCACAACGCTGCAAACTCTTTTTGTTATTGTTTTAATATAGTTGCCGGCGCGATATTGGTTGTAGTACGCAGTCATTCCTGAATTACATTTAATGAATTTTTATGCCCGTTACGTGATTAGAGTAACCAGTAGCTGGTGGGAATTTTGAATGATTTACTTCACAGTGACATTTGACCTTGACAATGAAAATGAAAACATTGAAAACCCCCCAAAATACAATTCTAGTTTGGATAATTATTATTGGCTATGACTCAAATCGCCATTTGAAAAAATTGTCTAAGGTTAATAACTTCTTGAAAAATTATGTATGTGACTCAAAAGTATTGAGCGATTAATCGTTTACACCGATCAGTGGTAAATAATTTAATTATGGCAGGCAGGTTTCCGTGCGACCAACGAATTTCATGACCTACACCAATAAATGCCACCCGGCACAATTGTTGTAGGTCAGTTTGACAATGAACGGTAGCCAATATTATCCAGTTGTTGTAGTGGATGTTTGGCGTTAAATGGGAATCTTGCTTAAGCGATATTAATACAAAAAACCAGTAAAGAAAGTCTTAAAGTCGGGCGGGGCCGACTTTATGATACCCTACACCACTTTGCTAATTTAGTAGAGCTCCACCTAACAATTAAAAGTTTTTATGGGAGAATTCAATCATACACGCTATGATTATAATTATTATTTAAAGTTCAAAGGACTAAATATGCCGAAGCATTTGTATCTTTTAAATTCGGAATTGTATTGCCCATTTGGTGCACAATTAATTTAAAATCGGTTAAAAATATATATATGGGAGCTATATCCAAATCTGAACCGATCTGGATAAAATTTGGCAAAGATATTTCTGAGCTGTATTTGATATATTTCCCTGAATATCGTTGTTACGGAGTGCATATTACTGTTGTAGGTAACAAATATAACAAATCGGATGAAAAATATATATGGAAGCTATAGCTATATCTGAACCTATCTTCACCATATTTGACATACTAGCTTCTAGACTCAATTCGGTCGTAAGTACCGAATTCCATCCCATTTGGACAAATATTAGACGTTTGGTGCACAATAAAAGGTAAATCGGACGAAGTTATATATGGGAGCTATATCCAAATCTGAACCGATCTCGATAAAATTTAGCAAATGTATTTCTGAGCTGTATTTGATATATTTCCCCAAATATTGTTGTTGCAGAGTGCATATTACGGCGGTGGTGGACAAAAATAACAAATCGGATGAACAATATATATGGGAGCTATAGCTATATCCGAACCGATTTCGATCAAATTTGGCATACTTATTTTCAGGCCTAATTTGGGTGTATATGCAAAATTCCACACAATTCGGGCTGATAATACACGTTTGGTGCACAATAAAAGGCAAATCGGACGAACATATATATGGGAGCTATATCTAAATTTTGACTGATTATCTCCAATTTCAATAGGTTTCGTCCTTGGACCAAACAAATGATCTGTGCAAAATTTCATCTGGATCGGGCAATAAATGCGACCTGTACTTTGTTTACAAAAATACATGGACGGACGGACGGACGGACGGACGGACGGACAGACGGACGGACATGCATAAATCGACTCAGAATGTGATTCTATGCAGATCATCAAAAGGAACTATGGGTCTATCTCGTTTCCTTTTGCCTGTTACAAATAAATGCACAAAGACATAATACCCTGACCACCTTGTGGTGTAGGGTATAATAAAAAATCCTTTATGATGATGTATTCTTTAGGCAAACAAGGCATTAGGATAGAGATTACAGGACAATAGGTTGATAATAATAAAAATAATGTAAATAATAATAACAACAAAGTGGTACAACTTAACGATTAGGATTAGGTCAAGAAATCACAACGTTGGACGGACTATAAGTTCTTTGGGCCAAATTGGGTATAGCCAACATATAAAGGGGATTTAGACTTTCTTTAATTCCTACATTCAGGTCGTACGTTGTTTTCCTTCTTTAGGAACTTCGTAATAAATTCAATATAAAAGAATAACTTTAGGTTTTCTCTAATTATACCGTAGTTATGTATCCTATGGCTATAAGACCTTTTCAGGTCGTATAATAAAATATGTTTATTAGGGGGCTATATGGGGGCTATACCAAAACGTTGATCTACACGGCCCATTTTAAATACCAAAAGTCCTGCAGATATAATATACATTTGAGAAAAATTTTATCGATCTACTTCATTTCGTTCGGAAGCTAGAGTGATTTCCACAGACGGACGGACATCGCTAAATCGACATAGAATTTTATGCTGATCAAGAATATATATACTTTGTGGGGTCTAAAATGTGTATTTCGAGGTGTTACAAACGGAATAACAAACTTAATATACCCTCCATACTATGGTGGAGGGTATAAAAATATATATCTGAGCCGAGTTCCACAAAATGGAAATGTACGTCCCGAAATTTACTCCATTTTGGGCTGATATTAGTCATTATTTGCACAATAAACCTGAAATCGGATTAAGAATATTTATGGGAGATATATCCACATCTTAGCCGATATCGATAAAATTTGGCAAAGGTATTGCCGAGCTCTATAATATATCTGGTACCAAATATTATTGTTGTCGATTGCATATTGCGAATGTGAGGGATTTCAAGACCAAATTGGATGAAACATATAAATGGGAGCTATAGCTATATCTGTACGGATTTTGATATACTTGCTTCTAGACTGATTTCAGTCGGATGTGTCAAAATTCAGGTCATTTGGACTAATATTGGTCATTTGGTGCACAATTAACCCGAAATCGGCTGAAAATATATAGGTGAGCTATATCTAAATTTGAACCGATTCTCACCACGGGTTCGTCCTTGGGCCAAACAAATATTGTTTGGTAAATTTCATCTCAATCGGATATAAATGCGACCTGCATTTTGTTCACAAACATACATGGACAGACGAACGGGCAGACAGACTGACTGACATGTAAAAATCGACTCCGAAAGTGATTCTATAAAGATCCTCAAAAGTAACTATGGGTCTATCTCGCTTCATTTTCCATTTTACAAACAAATGCATAAATACATAAAAACCTTACTACTATGCCGTGTAGGGTATAATGAGATCTCCTTCAGGTCAGCTTAAGATAGAAAATCTCCTTAAGACCTCATATATATATTGAAGGTATTTATCCATAATATCTTCTACAAATGTAATATCATCTGAAGGCCTCCTATAGACACAAGGGCTCTTGCGATCTTCTATAACTATAAAATTTCCTTGAGGTCTACTACAGCCAAAAGTCCCCTTTCACGACTTCTATAAAGAAAATGTCTTGAGCATAAGAGGAAGTTCAATTTTTAGGAGGATCAAACTACTCTATTTCTATAGGAAAACGATTTTTCCGGCGTTGAATGGGGGCTATAGGATATCGTGGACCTATATAGACAATTGTCTTCCAGGGAAGAAACTCACACAGAAGAAACTCACACCTTGCGTGGATTTTCAGATAATTCCATTGGAAAATTTGGCTACAATCATCAAAATATAGAATATTAGGAGGTACCGTGATATGGGGATATACGATATCGTAGAAATATATAGTCTATTCTCTAAAGTACTTGCAAAAAAACTCCTTATGCAGAATATCAGATAATTCCATTGAAAAATGTGGCTAAAACCATCAAAATGCAGAAATCGGGGGATACCGATATATGGGGGCAATACCAATATAGCCCATCTTCGAACTTGACCTGCCTGCAGACAAAAGACTGATCTGTGTAAAATTTTAGTTTCCCATCTAAATTCGTTATGACATTAGCTAAGTCGTCTAAATTTATTATTTCGATGAGTTATAAACGGAATGACGAATTTAATATACCCTCCAAATTACATATGGTGGAGTGTATAAACATGTCATTCCATATACATAAAACATTTTTATGAGACCTTCTTCAGGTCTTGAAAAAAAAATTATCTATTTTTTTTTTTTTTTTTTGAAGTCTTCTTTATGGGAGACAGCGTTTAGAACCCATTTCGAGGGACAAAACTAGGATAGATTTAACTTTCCATTTAAAATACACAAAAATGTCAGAAATGTACTAATTTTCCCAAGGCCCCATAATTGGATGATCATTCTTAAGCCTCCCTATTAATCTAAGTTGGCTTAATCGTCTAAAACATTGTGATACCAAACTGTCATACCCTTATCCTTGCCTTTTGTTGTTATGAGGGTGGAAGTTTAAAAAATTACAAGCAGAAGATTTATTTTCTATTGTAGACCCGGATAATGTTTCCTTATTATGGAAGTCCAGTAAAGTGTGTTGTACTACTTTGAGACCTCCTTCGGTATCTGCCTAGGCTGTTGTATTTACAGAACATGAAATAAATTCTTATATCGATTGAAGTATTGAGCATAATCGCTCTTTAAGAGAACATCAGAAGGCCTGTTCTCCACATTGGACTTGAGAAGGTCTCCCATTTTTAGTAGAACTGCCAGACATTTTATCAGTAGAATACCAGCAGGCTTAGAATTTATAGAAGACCTAAACGAACTTATGACCCTTTAAGATCTACTATCTACAGAATATCACCTAGTTTTCATAGAGCATATTACAGAATACTTTTACTAAAAAAATTGGCTTTGCAAAAATTCCGGGCACTGCCCACTAATTGACGTCTTTCCAGCTATAATCACTCTCAATTAAATCTATATTTAATTATTTCAGTAAACAACAAAATATTTTTTGTTAATAAAATTATTTTATTCGAGAAATTGATATCAGTCTTTTGTATTCAATGAATGTTCAAAATCTACCACAAAGCGGGAGCAGCAGCGGCATAAGTCAATGGTGCGGAGTAGGCAAATGGTGTGGCGTAAGCAGCAGCGTAAGGAGTGCTGTAGGCTGCAGCTACTGGGGCAGCGAAGGTCTTAGCAACAAGGGGTGCGGCAAAGGTCTTAGCAACAACGGGAGCGGCAAAAGTCTTGGCTACAACTGGAGCGGCAACGGGAGCAACAACAGGGGCAGCGAAGGTTTTAGCTACAACTGGGGCGGCAACGGGAGCTACAATTGGAGCTGTAGCAATGCCATTGTAGTTGCGAGCGATAACTTGGCTACTTGTGGCAGTAACGAATGGAGCTGGGGCAGCAGCCACAACAGCAGCTGGGGCGGTGTAGGCCAAAGGAGCACCAATCAAACCGGGCTTGGCAGCAGCGCAGGCAATGACGGCAAAGATGACAACGGCCTAAAAGGAATACACACAAGTTGATTATAATTTGCTTAAAATCTTCTTTGCTTCATTCAGAACTTACGAATTTGAACATTTTGAATAAAATTTGACTAAAGTTTGATTTGTTGTTAACAAATAAGAGGTGAATCGATGTATAATTAAAATTACTTGTGTACTCAACTATTTATATTCGTACATCGGGCGCCGAAATTCAAAATCAAAACAAATAACAACTAGATACCGCCTTTAAATTGGGCACGTGACAAAAGTTCCAAACTTTGTCATTGTTTGGCTTTAGTGGCCGACATGGTGGTTTGCAGCTATTCCAAGATTACATTTCACGAATTTTTATGCCCGTTACGTGATTAGAGTTAACAGTAGCCGGTGGGAATTTCGGCTGTCCTATGGTATTGACAATGAAAACTAAAACATTAAAAAAATACAAACTGTAATTCGAGTTGTCTAGTTGATAACTCTTAAAAATTGTTTATCTGAGTATATAGTTTTGAACATATTTTAAATACTTTTTATATTGTACATTGATACATTTTTTGATTATTCTATACAGGTTTTTGGCGGATTTATGAATTTCATGACCTATACCAACAAATACCAATGGCCACAATGGTGTAGGCCAGTTTTACAATGGAAGATCAGTTGGAATTACAAAAAAAAAAAAAAAAAAAAACAATTAAAAACAAGTAAGCAAAGGCTACAGTCGAGCGGGGCCGACCGTTGAATACCCTACAACACTATAATAAACCATACTATAATAAACCATCCTGGAACCAATATTTCCCAAAGACCTATAATCTCTCAGAAGTGGCAAAAGATTAACATTTATTATTGGTTTTTGACTGAAACGCATCTATGAGATACAGACATTTGATTTTCGTATTTGGTCTACAAAAGTTGGCAAACTATTTCACACATTGAATATTTTTGGATGGCCATCCGAAACTGCTTGGTTTTTACAATGTGCGGTAACCCCCATTCAAATGTGCGTGAGGATCGGGCGATAATTACGACCTGCCGACAATTTTGCAGTTTTTTGGTTCATTTCAACCTCTAAATATATGGCGATCATCTCCAAAAAGAGTAGGCTTCTATTCTGACCCTCATCTTATCCCCATGCAAAATTTCGTAATGATCGGGCCATAAATGAGATCTGGATATGATATCCTGATATCCTAACTACTTAATTTTGTTAGCTGTAGAAATATTATCAACTGTTTAATTCAAAATTAAAATATGCCAAAAATATGACAAAATTGAAAAAATATGAGAAAATTTTACAAAATCAATATTTTCATCTTTAGAGAGATATTTTTATGCGGTTTTTTAGACGTTTTTTCTTTCCTGCCAAGAGGCCATTCTGAATTAATGAGAACTGTCGAAATCTGTTCAGCCGTTCTCGACATATAAGTGATCTTTCAAGCATATCTCCTTTGATAGACATATGTATCGCACATATTTTGATATATATCCGATTTGTTGGATAATAACATCAAAGTAAAGGTCAGAAGTAACCTCGTGATGGCTTTATGATTTCGCCGGGATTTAAAATATTCACGGTTTAATGAAAAATTTTGATTTTTTTCAACACAAAATATATGGTCTATTTTACCCGCTAAATATTATCCGATGACCACCCAAATTAGTAAGCTTCTTCCCCGCCCTAAATTCTATCTACATGCGAGATTTTTTCAGTGTTTGGTCCATTTCAACCCCTAAACATTTGGCTATCATCTCCAAAAGCAATAGGGTTCTATTCTGGTCCAAGCCTCACCTACATTCTAAATTTCGTGAAGATCGGGCCATAATTGCGACCTGTAGAGTGATTACAAATTAACATGGACAGACGGACAGACGGACGGACGGACATACATAGCTAGATCGACTCAGCTCGGCGAGCTAGGAAGATCCATATATACTTTCCTATGTGGAAAACCAATATTTCGAGGTATTACATAATTTTTGGCCCAATAGTGTTGTAGGGTATAAAGATGTAAGTTCGGCCTGGCCGAACATTGAATACCCTCCACCATTTGGTACAAATTTGGCAATTTTCAAAAAAATAAAGTCCATTAAAAATTCTGTTAAAATCTTAAAAATACCGAATATAGCCGTATATTAGGGTCTGTACGACGACGTGGACCTGCATAGGCAACTTTTGTCACAAGCTATTACAATATTTGAAAAAAATCTGTTTATAATGTAGCTAAAATCATCAAAATTCCGAATATAGGGAGGAACCATGGGAGTTGTAAAACGTGGACTTGCATAGACAATTTTTTGACATAGGCTGTAGTATCCATTACGAACTTTAAATGCGAAATTTTAAACATTTCCCAAAATTGGGGTCATTTGGACTGTTATTGGTCATTTGGTGCATAATTAACCCGAAATCGGTTGAAGATGTATACATGTGAGCTATATCCAAATCTAAACCCATCTTGAAAAATTGTCAGGAGTATTTCTGAGCTGTATCTGATATCTGATACCAAATATCATTGTTGTCGAATGCATATCACGAATGTCCTTCACATTAAACACCAAACATATATATGGGAGCTATAGCTATATCTTATTTCAACACTGAATTCGGTGGGATGTGCTAAAATTAAGGACATTTGGACTTATATAGGCCATTCAATTAACCCGAAATAGGTTGAAGACATATGGAAGCTATATCTAAATCAGATCCGATTATCACCAATTTTAATAGGGTTCGTCCTTGGGTCAAAAAATATTGTTTGGTAATTTTCATCTCAATCGGATAGTAAATGCGACCTCCATTTTGTTTACAAGAATACATGGACATGAATTGTTGAATACTTTAAAATGGCCATAACTCCGTAAATATTGAGTTTTCGGCGTTTTTAGCTATTATTTGTGATCACTTTTTCAGGCATGAATTATTAAATACATTCACATATACATTCATGATCACTTTTTTAGGCATGAATTACTGAATACTTTAAAATGGCCATAACTCCTTAAATATTGACTATTCGGTGTTTTTAGCTATTATTTGTGATCACTTTTTTAGGCATGAATTATTGAATACTTTAAAATGGCCATAACTCCTTAAATATTGAGTTTTCGGCGTTTTTAGCTATTATTTATGATCACTTTTTTAGGCACGAATTACTGAATACTTTAAAATGGCCATAACTCCTTAAATATTGAGTTTTCGGAGTTTTTAGCTATTATTTGTGATCACTTTTTCAGGCATGAATTACTGAATACTTTAAAATGGCCATAACTCCTCAAATATTGAGTTTTCGGCGTTTTTAGCTATTATTTGTGATCACTTTTTAGGCACGAATTACTGAATACTTTAAAATGGCCATAACTCCTTAAATATTGACTATTCGGTGTGTTTAGCTATTATTTGTGATCACTTTTTAGGCATGAATTACTGAATACTTTAAAATGGCCATAACTCCTTAAATATTTAGTTTTCGGCGTTTTTAGCTATTATTTGTCGTCACTTTTTTAGGCATGAATTATTAAATACTTTAAAATGCATACATCCACTCAGAAAATGATTCTATGAATTTCCTCAAAAGTAACTATGGGACTATCTCGCTTCCTTCTCCATGTTACAAACAAATGCACAAAGACATAATACCCATACCACTATATGGTGTAGGGTATAAAAACCTCTTTATGTCTCCTATAAATGGCAAACCTTGGGAAATTCATTAGGAAGATGAGTCTATAATTAGAAGAATTTATTCTGTACCAAAGATCTCTTGCAAGTCTTCTAGAGAGGACTTCCATAGATTTTAGACCTACATGGGGACTTTATAGATAGAACACTTTTTACCAATCCTCTAACTCCTTGAATGAGTTTCGATCATAAATTTATTACACAAATTGTTGTTTAGCTCACTCAAGGTTAATATAATCTTAAATAAAATGACCCAACATTTTCTAACACCTTTATTATTTTTCAAGAAGTAATTATCCCGCTTGTTTATGCTTTAAGTATACTTTGAGTCATAGATAAATATAGAAATGTCCAAACATCATTTGGTTTTGAGAGTTTTTCATTGTCAATGCCAGTGCAGAGCAAAATTACCGAAATTCCCACCAACTGCTACTAACTCTAATCACGTACAGGGCATACAAATTCGTTTAATGTAATTCAGGAATGGCTGCGAACTACCACCAATACCATGATGTCTACTAAATCCGCACAATGAAAACAAGAGTTTGAAACCTTTGTCACGTGCCCAATTTCAAGGGGGTATCTTTCAGTGCGAGTTATTTGTTTTGATTTTGAATTTCGGCGCCCGATGTACGAGTATAAATAGTTGAGTACGCAAGTAAATTTAATTATACATCGATTCACCTCTTATTTGTTAACAGCGAATCAAACTTTAGTCAAACTTTATTCAATATGTTCAAATTCGTAAGTTCTGAATGAAGCAAAGAAGATTTTAAGCAAATTATAATCAACTTGTGTGTATTCCTTTTAGGCCGCTGTCATCTTTGCCGTCATTGCCTGCGCTGCTGCCAAGCCCGGTTTGATTGGTGCTCCTTTGGCCTACACCGCCCCAGCTGCTGTTGTGGCTGCTGCCCCAGCTCCTTTCGTTACTGCCACAAGCAGCCAAGTTATTGCCCGCAACTACAATGGTATTGCCACAGCTCCAATTGTAGCTCCCGTTGCCGCCCCAGTTGTAGCTAAGACCTTCGCTGCCCCTGTTGTTGCACCCGTTGCCGCTCCTGTTGTAGCCAAGACTTTCGCTGCTCCCGTTGTTGCCAAGACCTTTGCCGCACCCCTTGTTGCTAAGACCTTTGCTGCCCCAGTAGCTGCCGCCTACAGCACTCCTTACGCTGCCGCTTATGCTACACCATTTGCCTACTCAGCACCATTGACTTATGCCGCTGCTGCTCCCGCTTTGTGGTAGATTTTGAACATTTATTGAATACCAAAGACTGATATCCATTTCTCAAATAAAATAATTTTATTAACAAAAAATAAAAATATGTTGTTGTTTACTGAAATGATTAAATGTAGATTAAATTGGGAAGACGTCAGCAAGTGGACCCTGCCTCGAATTTTTGTAAATTTCACTTTTTTTTAGATTACTGCAATATGCATAAATATGGGTGATATTCTGCAGATAATAGATATTAACGTATATTTCAGGGGCATAAATCAGTTATGGTCTTCTATAA